GTTACAGATGACTTCGGTATTTTGCGAAGGTGACCGTCTGAAGGAGGTGATGCTGAATACCAGTGTTCTTAAAAGTACCGATAACATTTATTGGTGGTCATCGCAGGGAGGTAATTGCTATGAGTGAATTCACGGTAATTGTTTACGAAGTCTCACTTTATCATGTTCAAAGTTCTCACGCAAACTGAAATCTGAAGTTATCGAAGCAGTGCCTATTAAAAGAAGGAAAGTGCTTTAATAAAGTCTCTGAAATGTTTGCACTAATCACCTACCAGATATCTAACTGTAGATAGTTCAGATCTAATTTTCATACTAAATTGTTGCAATTAACTCTTGGTTGTCAAGTCAAAGTTATGAATACTGAAACAATCGGAATTGCTATTTAATTTCACACCAACAATTCATATTTATTTTCATTTGTGTTAAAACAAGTTTTTAACTTGATGTTTTATATTCATATAAATTACTCCCAAACGAGGGATGTAATTATAAAGCATAGTTTATTTAGCACGGGTTATGTACCATAATTACAGGAAGCAGCAACAAAGTAGAAATAAACGAGCACTGAATTCGCGGTACTTGGGTAATTAACCCAAATTAAATTGCAGTTAATTCTGAAATATGATGAACGCCCTCAATATGGAGGATCTATTCTATTCGACTAAGTCATTAAAAATATGTGATACAGCTTATTCTCGGAATTTAGCTTAATGGTGAAGTAATCGATGTCAAAATTGACAGTAGAACTAGCATTCCAAATGGTTATGTTAGTGCTGGTAATTCTAGAATTAGTAGCTGATAAAAGTTTGTCAAAATTTGCCTCTTTAATTTCGGCAAAAAAGGAAAGTAGTGTGACTATGTTTTAGCGGGAGTAAATGTCTCTTTACCATTGTCATTTATTCATAATCATCGAGATTTCAAACAATCAGAATTAGTTTAAGTAGAGAAAAAATTAGTTTAAAATTCTGACATCTTTGAATTTCGATTCCACAGACTTAAAAAATTGAGTAAGTTGCTCAAAAAGTAACGCAAAATCCACTGTATTTGTTCGATAATAGTAAACACTAGGTAATTGAAATTTTGTATGCAGAAGCACTCGTCTTTTAATACCTAACCTAAATCTAACTTTTATGTCTTGTTATTGAAAGTAAGCTACAAATCCAGGAATAAACTCAGAGACATCAATTCACGGGAAACTGTTCCCAGCCTTTGGAGACAAGACGATGAATCAAAGAGATATATGTTGTGACTGCAATACCCAGAACCAGCCACAGTCAGGAAGAACTTCAATGACAACAATAACACGTCAGAAACACGTCAGTCATTTAAGAACTCTCCAAAATGACAGATCCGTCATCACGAAACAGATCATGGAGCACACAGATATGGCAAAAAGATATGCGTTAGTGCTAGTCCAACAATTCGAATGCAAAACCGTTTGCGCTTACAGTTTTTCACAGCTATTCAAATTGTCAAGAATGCTTTCATGAAGTCATCAAATGTGATGAAACCTAGTTGTTTCATTTTGATTCTGTGAGTAAAAGGTAGTAGGATGAACCGTACATAACGCTCATGTCATCGAAACAAAGATCGTTCACTGCATTAAACAGATGGATCATATACTGAGAGACATTTCCAGAGGACCAAAATTTCTATCCACAACATTTCATTTCACTAGTTCTTAACCGTTATCGAAGTACAGTGGGCTGCGTGTTACTTTTCCACCAACTTTTGTATTTTTCATATTCGTAGATCTACAAGTTTTGATTGCATGATTAAAACTTTTCTCTTTCTTTTACTTCAAGTTTGTTTTGATAATTTTGATCAAGGAGATTTTCAATTTCAGTCGGTTACTACCCAACTTATTTCTTAGGTAAAATTTCGAATAAAATATATGCATTGATCATTCTTAACCACTGCTTTTCTTTAAAAAAAAACAGCCTTTTCAAATATTGCATTTGACACAGAGGGGTTAGCATTCAGCTGATCCAGTTTTAAAGTATTTGTTGTTTTAGTAGACGTTGAATCGAAATTAGTTAAAGGAAAAAAAAGAAATAATCATTTGATGCACATATTTAAAATTATAAGCTAAATAAAAATTCTAAAACTAATTCTTTATGGTATGTAACCTCTTTGATCAGTAGAGTAGTTTATTACTACTAACTTAGAGAAAGGAAGTTAGTATATATTGAAGAAGAAAGAAAACTACTTATTAATAAATAATTAAAATAAATTTTCAGAATAAGATATGCTTTAAAGGTAAAGTACTTTAAAAATTTTACATTTCAAATATTGAAAACGTCGGTCTAGTCACTTTAACTGATTTATTAATGTTAATGTTAAGTACTTCAACGAACTGGAAAACAGATAATTTGGCCAATTGAAACATTTTAATTCACCAACAATTAAAAGTTTCAAATTATTATTATTTATATGTACTTTAATGCAGAAACATATATTAGCAAGATTAAACTGAACAGAAATAAAAGCAAATAAAAATTACCAAAATAAAAATGAAAAGAAAGAATGAAAGATGAAGGTAAATTGTATTCTAAAAGGAGAATGTTTTAAATTATAAATTTATCCCTATTTTTGGATATTAGATATTTAAAGTAAAATAATTCCATTTTGTATAAAAGGAATTTTCAGTAGTGATATATAAAATTCCAATATATTTTGTCCTTTCAGTCGATCTTTTTGGCGAATATATAAAGAAACAACGTTCATTATTTTAATTTCTAAAAACCAAGTTACAGATTTGACCGCAAGATGGCAGGCCAGAGCCAAAAATAATTCTCATCATTATTTAAATACAACGCAACCAATTTAATAAAACTTTCAAACATAACGCAAAACACCATATCAAGTCTTCATTTCAGAGGTTTCAACGTTATTGTGTGTAATATTTCACTTTTATTTTTAAGAAATTATAAATCTTTTTGAATAAAGTGACAGAAAGTCGCACTGCAATCATTTCTTTAGCTTTCCTTTAGTTTTTCTTTAGCTTTCCTTCCGATATATTACACAAATTAGACAGTTAAGAAAACTTTCAAAATACTAGAAAGAGAAATATATACCTGGAGCATATGTTCTGCTTTAATTCACTGAATCAGGAATTAGGAATTCACTGAATTAGGAATTAGGCTTTATATTTTAAACTTATTTTCAGAAGAATAAATTATAAGCACATGTAAAAAGTTTTCATTTCTTTTATTTTTAAGAAGTATAACGTAAGTTTCCAATGAAATTTGAGAAGTGGCTATGCCATTAGCACAAAAATTAATGTATTCTCACCAGCGCTGATTACTCATTTGGATAAGAGGGCAAATGAAAATTTTGCACTTCTGACCTAATTTATTCACAAAACTATGGATTCGAATGGGGAGAATTTTCGGAAGTATAGAAAATGAAATCCTTACAGTCATGTGATCCTTACGATCATGTAAGAGTGTCTGCTGTTTATAAGAATTTAAATAATGTTTGGAAATGAACCTGATCAATCTAAAACAGCTCTATTTGCAAAAAATCAAAATAATTTAGTATCGCGGGTGGTCGACTTATACAGGGTTTATTGTACATATTTTTAATGTAAAGAATCTCGAGCAATTCTATCACGCTGAAGAATATTAATGTTATTTAACTGGGATATTAGAATTTCCCGAATTGCTTTCAGTGAAAAATGAAATTTCGTTAGCTCACAATATGCAACATACAAGGATAATTTGTTTTTTCTTCATATATTTCATTAAAAAATGAATTTAAACACAAATGCAATTCGAAATTTTTACACACTTGCGAATCTTATATTATCCTGTAAAGGTGATAAGACAGTTTAAATCATGGTCTGCGTATTATGCATGTCTCTGCTAGTTGTTAAACTAGCAGAGAACTTATTTTCTTAATAATTTCCGATAATTAACTAATAATTAACTAATAACATAATAAATAAGAACAATAGTATAGAAAATACAAAATAAGCGTACATATTTTTCTATTTACTAGTCACTGGCTTAAGCCGGCTGCGGAAAACCACCGCTTCCTAAGCTAGTCACCTCTGAAGTTCTCAGAATTTCTGAAAACATAAATAATCATTTGTATTGAATACCTCTTTCCTAAGACGACCAGCTCCAGATCGAAATTATTTAGAAACGTGAGTGTTCTCAGAGAAGGTTCACTGCATTTAACAATGCCTGCGTTACAATTTTCAGAATTATCAAGAATATACAATGAATACTGCCTTTGAAAATTCTCCCTAAGACCACTTCTGAAAGTGATTAGTATTTCTGAGAACGTAAATAAACAATAGTTTAGAATACGCTATCTCTAAGAAGATCATCTATGCGAAATATCAAAACAATCTGCAACTTTGTGAGTGGTCGGCTTAAAGAAGATGCGCTGTATGTTGTTTATCAACGTGGGTTTAATGCAAAACCGTTAATATAATTAAATTAATTTTTAATTTATTAAGTTTGTTATTACAAAGTATTTTTGCAACGATGCTTTATGTTTATTGAACCAATTAGCATAATACATACATTAAGCAACTTTTAATAATACATTTACATTAATGTTTCAAAGCCTCAATGACTATAAATTACACAACTTTTAAAATTTAGTGATATTTGATTCATTGTAATGACTCTTGACTTTACTATATCTGTGAAGGGCATATTGTTTCCTGATTAAAACTGTAAATGATTGGTATAGTTGCATCAGTTAGTCACGTATCAGTTCTGCGGAAGTGCAGTGTCAAATTTTACCAGCCCTACTAATTTTCTAGCAGACTTCAACTGAGCTAAGCTGTGATAGCTGATCTAATTAAGACCTTACAATTACATAAAGCTTTCACCTCGTACCTAAGCGATTTACTCAGAATCACCCCTTTGTTTAGCATTCATTTATCGCTTGTGCTTAAATGATAGGTCAGGCAAGGATTCTTGTCCATGCACTCTCATAGAGTGACTGAGAGAACAGAAGTGAAGCAAAAAGTGATTACTCACCTCTAGCTTCGTCGCCGTGGATCTATGGACTGTGAGCAAAATTGCGACGAAAGAGATTCTGTATTGGCCCCCGCACTTTTTGCTCGCCCACGAGACTTAGATTCCCACCACGTCTCCTACCCTGTCCCGATGTAACCCAGCTCGTTCATCATGAAAGTCCGTGACTAGATAATGAAGCGGCGAACATCTTTTCGTAATCGTGTTTCCATATCAAATTTGCATAGATTACACACTTGTCGTACGCAGTTTTGTCAATTCGATTTGAGCTCGAAGGAATGATCTGCTGAGAATAGCTGTTATCCTCTGATACACGCAGCGTGGGTTTCTGAGGCAGATGAGACTGTTTACCAAAACAAATTTGAGCTAAATTTAAAAATTTGAGCTACCATTTGGAGAGGAGAAAGGAAACGGCAGTTTAATTTAACAATTTAAAGCCTAGTTCTAACAACCTGAATAAGCTGGAAGTACTGAGGCCTTTCGATAAACTGCTTTGAAACATATTTATAGAGGTGATTTAACTACAAGTAGTAAGCTTCTCATCTTTAATGGTAATATTTTATGGGATTGATGTTTCTAATCCTTATAAATCTAGTGAAAATTGGTTCCAACTTTTTGATTTTGCTTTGTCTAGAATAGAGGCCCGAACCTGAAGCATGAGATTGAATTTCAACAGATGGAATAAAGAGTGACGTTTGTCTCTGAGTTACCAGTCATGAGTTATACGATGTACTTTGTAGGCACAATATTACTTTTATAGTAGGCGCGAAAACTAATAAAATATTTTTTTGGGTGCGAGAAATATCAGAAAGTTGGCGAGTCATTGAGCTAGAGAATTTTGCTAATTATGCCTACTTATTTCATGTTCCTCATCTTCTTCCAATTTGATAGGTAAAATAAAATGCGCAGTAGTAAAGAAACAGTACTGTAAATGTGAGTAATCAGTTTTCAGTTGACCGCTACCTTCTGTGTATCTAAATCTACTTTTTTGGCTAATCGTATTGATTAGTATAAGGGACAGCGATACTTGTTAGCGTATAGGCTTGGATGCTTGTAAGATGTCTTTGCGACATGGGGGTACTTAAATTATACCTCGAAGCGAAAGTCGGAGCTTAGTGTCAGAAAAAGAGGGATAGAAGACTCCGGGATCCGTTCTCCCCCCCTCCCGGAAGATTTTCTTCTTCAAAATTGGGTCGAAACTGGAAAAAGTTGCCCTGTAAGATGCTCAAGGCCTATCAACGAAAACCGCACTCCTTCACTCCTCACCATGATAGAATTTGTGAACTTATTCTCACTTTACTATTAGACAAGCGAGAAGTTTCAACAACGCATTTCTAAAGTACATCTATATTGTAGAGATTATGCTAGCTGTATCTGTATAATATTTTAGATTTTATATGTAATTTATATGTTGTTAATATCCATATTGTAGTAATTATGATTGCACATAAACTATAATATAAATAAATACATTAGTACTAAAAAGAAAGCTTTATGAACGGAGAATAAAACTCGTCCACTTCGTAACTGATCAGCATTTGTGAGAACATTGTGGAACATCGGAGTTGAGCATTACCTGTTCAAGACAAATACCTCCACAGAAAACGAAAATCACCTGGAATGTTATGGGTAGCCTTAGAGACGGTTAGTTATATTTTTTATTTCAGTGAGTAGCTGATATAAATTCCGGCTTAAATCTTTCACTGTGCATCAATGTTTCTGCATGATGCCAAAAGCAAATATCATAAAAAAATCAGTTCCTAAAAACCAGGTGAGATAAGGCTACTTGAAAATGCCACGAGGGTTATCTAAAGGAAGGCATGCTTTCACTGTGGACTTTTTAAGGGAAGCTGGCTCGCATTCATGTTACACATAGGAAAAGCCAACCATGCAGCCAGTTTATTTGCCTGAATTCGAATCCATGCCGACCAGTATTCGTCGATTTTAACACTCGGCCACCTTCCTAAGGACAAAAAAATAAGTTTATTTCTTCCAATCCGCAGTTCCTGAAAACTTATGTTTAACAAATTCTGCAACGTGTAATGATTATTCATTCTGGTGAAAGTGGAGACGATTTTTTACTTCCGTATCATCGATTCGGATGATATAAGTAGTTCTAGTACATCTATACATACTTTTATCGTAATAGCGGCATAATTCTAAGGGAGAATAGGTGGTGGTGTGTGGGATTATGGAAAAGCCTCGAGGGCTATCTGCCTAAGAGGAGGGATGCCTTCGTGGAGGACTTTCTAAGGAAAACTGGCTCGTATACACATTGCACATGGGGAAAACCACGAAAACGCCCATGCAGCCAGTCCGTTCGCGGGATTCGAACCTCGGACCGAACTACCAGTGTTCAGCGACTTTACCGCTCGGCCGCTGGTGGGCCCTAAGGGAGAATAGAAACTAACATTTTTTTTTCCTTCTGATAGTTTTAAGAATAGCTAAGTAAAAACAAACACACAGAAAACAAATGGGCGCGTTTCAGTTAATTTTTAACATTAGTAGAGATTCTTGAAATAGTTCTTTCAGTTTTGGTATACTAAAAGTACCAATAGTACATGCAATTTTAGTATAACTTCTATATCAAAGCTGGGTTTCTGTTCTTCCAGGTACCTGCGAACGATCAACTGGACATCTTCAGCCGAATTAGAGGACTGGAAAAAACCATTATGAATCTTTTCAATCATCACATAAATAAGCGCCTCCACGTTTCTGCATTTCAGTGGAAACTAACTCGGCAAACGCATTTTAGATCTTTGCTGTTTATTTTTAGATGCACGAAATTCAATGTTTTTGTATATTAAATTGCACTGTTTTCACCTAAAGGTTAGGTGGCCCAATAAAGGTGCTCAGTAGAACGAAAGTAAACTAATTGTATGATGACTGATCCTTGCAAGCCCGAAACTAGAACATTAAATACCCTTTCCAATATTCTTTAAAACCTACATGAATACTATTATTGATTGCTATATGAGTATTATTATTAATTATTATTAAAGGGATTCAACGCAAAAATGAGGATAATTTAGAAGCGTTAGTTAAAAAATGGTATACTGCAAAAGTGATTCGACAAAAAAAAAAAAAAAAAAAAAAGAAAGAAAACTTTAAAAGCGTTACATGCGTTATAAGCAAAATATATCATTTTCCGAAAATGAGTTCAATTTTAAATATTCATTGTATAAAATAATATGCGTTACATTTTCAAATATTTTTAAATTTGACATGATAAATATGGTATTTTGAGCTCATAAGAGTCCATGCATTATAAGCATTGTAAAAAAAAGTTATAACATTATAAGCGCCTTTGATGTACAGGAGTGGCCTATATATATATATAATTTATTTACTAAAGAAATATTGATTATATTATATATATATATGGCCGAGTTTTGATTTGAAAATTGAGACAACGAAAATTTTAGGAACGAGACTAATATCCCTTCTGGTACTAAAAAAATAAAAACTCCATTACGTACGAAATACTGTAAACCGTCTCCTGGCGACTATCTTCCTAAAGCAATACCTTCGTAAATGAGCAGTATTTCTGAGAACATTAATAAGCATCGATACTAAACACGGCTCCACAACTGATCAAAATCATGTAGAACAGCGGTTAGCCGTATGAAAGTTCACTTTATTTTAAGAAATGGAATCTGACACTTTTCTGTAGAATATACTAAATGCGAGAGAGTGAAAGAAGTCGGTTTGTCTTCTTGCTGATTTATTTTTATCTCTTCTGGTTTCAATTACTTTTCACTTATTTGCAAAGATAAATGTTACATGATCTATGAAGACAGATTACTAACCCTTATTATCAGTAAAATAAGAAAATGTCATTTATCTTTTTGTCGATAAGGTACTTTTTTAAGAAAATGAGTTCATCGACCTAGTAACATTAGCCCATCAATGATAAAACGTTCTCAAAGAAAGTACGGTCAAGAGTTATGGCACATTGCTCATTAAAAAGGAGATTTAAAATTTATCATCGTATTTTACTTATTCATTTTAAGTTACTATACTTAAGAAGTTATTATTATGAAAAATTTGACTAAGGTTTGGATACATTCTCATATCTTCTACATACTAAGGAAGAAATCGATTTCCATAAAACTGATTTTCTGCGTGACTGTTTATGTTTTTGGAATTTTACCTCTGCTCATTAATGCATGAGTACACATAGATGACAGGAAAATATGGTTAATCCATAGTTGAAGTTGTGCAGCTGTTATAAATTAATAGGCATTGTTGTTGTTGTTGTGACTAGTCTCACTAGTCTGATATTAGAACAACCCCACGAAATTCATCATGGCAAGAAGTCAAGACTTTTCCTGTCGTTCCAAACAGCCTTGGGCACCATACAAGTGACAGTACTACTTTGCTCCGCCACCACCCCCACCTACGAAGAAGAGCACTCCGGAGGGAGACGGGTTTGAGAGTCTTCCACTCCTCTTCCCCAACCACCAACCTCTCGATAGGACTTTCGTCTCGGCACTTATTTACACTGCCCCATGTCGCACAGTCATTATCCATTTAGAAACATCCACGTTTTCTCTGGGATTCTAAACCGGACCATTCTGTAAGGCAGTCAGAGTCATTAACCATTATCCAGGTTGGGTGGCATAAACATTATAAAATGTATGATTTAAAATAATAAAGCTTATTTTTTTATTTTCTAATTATTCATATGGTTTTTTATTTCTAATTATTCAGAATTTTATTTTCTAATTATTCATATGGTAATGTAGGCATCGCAAACTTATGATATCATAAAATAAAAACTAAGATTATTCATTCTTAAAATACGACTGATCCATATACTAAATATGCCCCACTTTTAGCCAGTCTTAATGTTTCATCTCTTCTTTCTACTGACTCATGCTGAAGAAAAGTCTGGGCCTAAAAAGTCACGTAATCTTACTCACTTCTGTGTTTTCTTCGTGTATATTTTCAAAACGTTAAAAACTATAAATAATTTCTATAAAAGCCAGTTATTACTTCTTATTCAATAGAACGCTCTGAATCTACAAAATTAATAACCAGATTTTTCTAGTCATGCATTAATGTTCAGTATTTAATTTCAT